GGCAGATTTCCTTCCCTAAAGGACGTTAACGAACCGGCTTGTAACCGACAGAAAGAGGCAGCTTTCACCTTTGTATGCTGAATTACATTGATATTGGTGTTAGTCTGAGGTCTTTCTGCCAAAGTTAAATGGGGACCCGTTCATTTATCGGACCGTCCCGGTGCCTCAAATATATATAAATATAATCCTGCACAAGTAAGAAATGCTTTGGGTTTGTTTGTTGGATAGAAGCAAACTCTACTGTTTGATTATTTTCTTCATAGGCTACAGTAGAGAACCCAACTGTTTTAGTGACTGTATGCATAAATTTATTATGAATAAAGCATATTTTTGAAATTAAAAAAATTAACATTGGTGTTACTGAAGTGAAACTGAGAGGGAAGGTGAATCAGTGGGCAGTCCGTGGCAGAAACAAGCACACGGGGCAAAGCAAGAAGCAAGGATGATACTTTACTGACTGAAAGCCTCAGCCTTTCAACAATACTCTAGAGCCATCACAGTAGATTTTTACTGCCCTCTTGTGACTAAAAAGTATGTGAACAATGAATGAATGAGAACCAGTTGCTCACCAGTATTGTCCCTTTCTCTTTAATTTCTCTTTGTCAGTGTTCAGGACAAACTGAGTCAATGATATTCCATTATCTTTTGCAAGTGTTGTAACAAGATGAGAGCAAGCTCCATAAAGATGTTAGTTGTCTGTGCTTGGTTAGCTGATACGCCAACAATAGAGATGCTACAATTCACCTTGATCAGTGCCTTTGAGGCACGAAGGTGAAAACTGCCAGTGTCCCCTGTTCCTGGTCACTATCCAATGATCACCATCAGATGCTCATATTGTTAGGCAGCGGGGGAGGACAACTCTGATTAAAATGTCCTCTGATTCACAATCTCAACCATAAATAAATGGGCATTTCAGCATTGTATCAAAAAGGCAAACAAGCTCTGAATATTATATTTTTGCGAGAGACAAGTCCTTGAGATGAATGGAGGTGGGGAGTGAGCAGAGGTTTGTGGGGAATGATGGTTACTAGGGGGAGGAAAGAGTTGTGATGCAAAAAAAATGTTTGCTCATGAAAAAATAGAGCAATGAGGGAGATGAGAACTTGCAAACTGTTTTCTCAATAAGTATGCATGCAAAAGTGTTCCCCAATAATGAATGTTTTGAAAGATCTGAACATATATTGGCTGTGCTCCCAATTGGATCTTCTCATATTTGTTTGTTAGACTGAACAATCACAGGGGGCTGAGGCTGTGCAGAAGAATCATTGTTTCAATAAGCAGGTTTGAACACAGTGGGTATGCAGCAAGGAATGTAAATTCATTACAAGTACATTAACAGCCCTATTACCTTGTTGGATCAGTGGATGTGTGGAACAAATTATTTTGAAGAAACAAGGTTGGCACTCTTAAAGGAGCCTTTAAGACGTCTATGACATTCTTCTTTTAATCATAAACATATCAATAGCTCACAATGATTGGTGAAACAATAATGTGGATTCTTTATTTGAAGGTAAGATGATACACTGATAAATTTACTGAGAGACCATGTTTAATACATATTACTCCTAATACTGCAGCTTCAGACTGCCCCACTGGCCTAACTCATTAGATGCAGTTGGGGTGAGGGATGATTGACAATAGTTCAAGATGCATCACTTTAAAGGCACATGCATATCTCATCACAACAATCACCAGACATCTCAAAGTCCTCGATAGCCGATGGAACACTTTTAAAGTGTAGTTGCTTTTGTGGTATACGAAGAATAGGAATACGTGATAATGACCTGACAACCACTTATTTTGCAATGTTGATGAAGTGATGGATAGATTTGTAAAAGGGCATCGGGACTCTGGAGCACTTTGTGATGATGTCATGGAGTTGCACATCACTGAATACCACGGTGTGGGCAGAGTTTGACAAGATTAGAAGGTTCACTCTGGGAAAGTAAGATTCTCTGGAATGATCACAGACAGCACATGAACAGGAACAAGATAGATCAGTCCTTACCTAATGTAACTATAGGCTCAGGACCTGGCATTTCTCTGATTAACATGTATCCCATTATTTGTTATTAATATTTAATAAATAGTTACTTTGAAGTCGAAGTCTGAACAAAGATCTTGACACTGCTTTCTCATTGACCAGTCTATAACTCAGAGAGTGGTATCAAATCACATGATATAAAGAGCCAGGAACCTGGGCTTTTCTTTGAAATAATGCATTAGATATGTTCCATATAATCTATCAGGGAGAAGAGGTTTTGGTTTAACATTTGATGAGAAAGACAGCACCTTTGACACACTTAACAGATCCAACATGGCTGCAGAGTAGGACGCTCCAGCCAGAGCTCATCTGCTCCATCAATTCCTTTACTTTTCTTCTCTTTATTTTCTCACTCATTTTGTTTTCTTCTTCTGACTTTTCCTCTTCTGCCAGTGGCCTGGAGCAGGCTGGGAGCACCAGCAGAGCGGTGACGGCAGACAGCAGCCTGGAGCAGAGCGGTGACAGGGGCCAACCACGCGGAGCAGAGCGGGGACAGGGGCCAATGGTGCGGAGCAGAGCGGGGACAGGGGCCAATGGTGTGGAGCAAAGCGGGGACAGGGGCCAATGGCACGGAGCAAAGCTGGGACAGGAGCCAATGGCGCGGAGCAAAGCAGGGACAAGGGCCAATGGCGTGGAGCAAAGCAGGGACAGGGACCAATGGCGTGGAGCAGAGCGGGGACAGGGGCCAATGGCGTGGAGCAGAACGGGGAC